AAAGAGTATGTCAGACAACATGCAGAGGAGTGGCAGAGGAGGCAATGTTTTAGGAGCGAGCAGACGTGGCAGCAGAGGAAGGGGTCGAGGCAGCACTAGTCGTCGCAGCCAGAGGCCAGTGCTCCCGGTGTCATCCAGCGGTCGTGTCTCCACCGACAACCCTGCCGTCATCGATTGGTTGGCTCGGTCGTCTTCCTCTTCCCAGGTCACCTCTGACACCTACAGCCAACGGTCGGTGGGTACGTCAGACACAACCGTTAGTTGGCATGGCCCGGGAGCAAGCCCACTGAAATCACGTGTCCTCTACCTGCCCCTGTCCTTTGGTGTTTCCCTCACCAAGCGAAGTATCGCATGCTGTGGGCTCAGCCCCACTGTACAGTGAGGAAGAGCTAACAGAGGGCGGTCAGGAACGGGGGGAGACATCCGCCTCTTCAGCAGCCAGGCGAAGAAGTACTGGCGAGGAGAGTGGCTCGGTAGCCGGTCTAGAGACAGGTCTGTCTCCTGACCCACACGCAGCCGAGGGGGCTAGTAGTGAGGGCGGAGACCCTAATTGATGATGATGATGAGGCTGATCGCACTTGGCAGCCTCGTCGTCATCAGGCTATTGCTTCCGCATCATCAGGAGAAGAGGGTGCCAGCTTGGCAGCGAGCAAAAAAACAGTCGGTGGGTTTGCCCAGGAGGCAGCAGGGGTCGCAGCAGTGTCAGTGGAGGCAAACGGCCACGGAGTAGAGCACCAGCTCCACTGCAGCCTACCACCACGGCCAGTAGTGGTGCCGGTGTGCACGGAGGAAGTAGCAGTCAGCCAGTGAGGAGTAGCGGGGGCAAAGTTTCCTACTCGGCGGTGTGGCAATTTTTCGTCAAGCCGCCCGAGGAAGTAAACGTAGCCGTATGTCGACTATGTGGCCAGAAAGTCAAGCGTGGCCAGGGGGCCCATGTTGGGACTACAGCGTTGCGTCAGCATATGCAGCGTCGCCATTTGGTGGCCTGGGAAAAACCGTGATAAAGATACGGCGGTTCTGCCTGCCCCAGCCCCCGCTCCATCACCCGCTCCGTTACTTGCTCCGTCACCCGACGTCAATCGCCCTCTATCAGCCAGTCAAGGCTCCAACACCTCTGCTGAGGGGAGTTGTCGCTCGTTGGCATCTTCCGCTCGTTCAGATGCTCCTTCTCCTGCTACTCCTCTTCACGGATTCCGTCAGCAGTCTTTCTTGGAATCCGTTTCCAAGAGACAACAGTTTGCGAGCACGCACCCGACGGTGCAAAAGCTGAACGTCCTCCTGTCCAAGTTGCTGGTGCTGCAGTCCCTCCCTTTCCAAGTGGTGGACTCAGCACCTTTCCGAGAAATGATGGCTTGTGCCGCGCCGCGGTGGAGAGTGCCAAGCCGGCATTTCTTCGCCAAAAAGGCAGTGCCAGCCCTGCATTCACATGTAGAAGAGATGGTGGGCCAGTCTTTGAGCATGTCGGTCTCTGCCAAAGTGCACGGCAGCGCCGACGTGTGGAGCTGTAACTACGGTCAGGGACAGACATGTCATTTACGGCCCACTGGGTGAAACGTGGTGCCGGCACAGCCGCACCAGCAACTTGGACAGGTCACGCCGCTTTTGCCTCCACGTTTGCACGTCCTTGGTCCAGCAAAGATGTCCGCCTCTACCACCTCTTCTTCCGCCGTGTCCTCAGCCGCCACCCCCGTGCCAAGTCCCATTACCCGACCGGCATATCACATGTGCAGGGCGCAACGGTGTCACGCTGTGCTGCACCTGGTATGCCTTGGCGAACGTAGTCACACAGGGGAGGAACTTCTGAGTGTAATGAACAGAGAAATCGACAGATGGCTGTCTCCGCGCAAACTGAAAATCGGAACCATGTTGACCGACAACGGAAAGAACATGGTGTCTGCTCTGCGTCAAGGAAGGTTGTGCCATGCGCCATGCATGGCTCACGTGTTCAATCTGGTTGTCAAGCGGTTCCTAAAATCCACCATCCCACTGCAAGACATCCTTAAAATGTCACGTAAACTTTGCATGCATTTCAGCCATTCCTACACCGCAAAGCACACCCTCCTTGAGCTGCAGCGGCAGAACGGAATTCCACAGCATCGCCTGATCTGCGACGTTGCAACAAGGTGGAATTCAACCCTACACATGTTAGACCGCCTTTACGAACAGCGAAAGGCCATCACCGATTTCCTGATGTTACAAGCGGATAAAGGTACTCCCCTGTGTAACTTCGATGTCAGCCATTGGCAGCTCATGCGTGACACCTGCCTTTGCTCAGGCCCTTTGAGGAGGCCACGCTATTCGTGAGTCGGCAGGACTATGGGATGAACGACGTCATTCCTCTGTTGCACGTCCTGGAACAAATGCTGTTAACAATGGCTGGTCACAATGGCTGGTCAGGGTGCGGTAGACGTGGCGCACAGATCTCAACGCCACATGACCCCTGTGGGGGCAGGACAGGAAGAAGAGGAGGAGGGTAGAGGAGGGACATTGGTGCTCAGGAATTATTGAGTGAAATGAATTATTGAGTGTGAGGTGGTTTTTCCACTCAGCGGACAGGAGTGGAGGAGCAGGAGCATCTGGTAGAGGAGGAGGAGGAGGAGACAGAGGACCCAGACGCACCGTGGCAGTATGCTGTGGAGATGGAGGCAGGCAGGGAGTCCCTCGCATTCCTTGGCACAAATGGCCCATAGCATGCTCGGTTGCTTGCGTAGCGACAGCCGAATAATAACCATCAGACAGAGGGATGACTTTTGGCTGTCCACCTTGTTGGACCCTCGCTACCGTTCAAAAATGGTGGCCTTTTTTCACACCTGCTGAGAGGGAGGCCAAAATAACGTACTATAAAAACCACCTATGTAGTCAGTTGGTCTCTGCCTTTCTGCGCCAACGTCCATCCTCAGACACTGTGGGCCCTGTGCGCTCGCGTTCCGCTGCCATGGCAGCAGGGGAGGGGTGGGGTGGTAGGAGCAGTGGCAGCTCCACCAGCAGCGGCTGCCTCAGTCTGCAGTCGATGATGAGTAGCTTTCTTCACCAGCGCAGTGAGGAAACTACTAACCAGCCGCAGCAGCAGCAGCATCAGGTGGACCTGGAGCAGGACCTCAAACAACAGGCTTGGGCCTACTTGGACAGCACCCTGCCAACCGAGGTAGAAATCCCCTTGACTACTGGGCAACGAAACTTGACCTTTGGCCCCAACTAGCTGAATTTGCCCTTGAAAGGCTGTCATGCCCGGCCAGTAGCGTGGCATCGGAGCGCGTGTTTAGTGCGGCAGGAGGTATTGTAACTCCGCGGAGGACACGACTGTCCACCCAAAGTGTGGAGAGACTCACGTTTGTGAAAATGAATCAGGCGTGGATTAGTCTGGATTTCAAACCACCAGTTCCTGACACAACTGACTAAATCCGCCATGAATCATGCCCCAAACATGTGCCACTTTCAGGTCTCCTCACACTGCTGGTGGGTTCCATTTTGTGTCATAGGGTGCTGGCAGATTACGGGCCTCCCATTGCTGCTGCCAGGCCCGTAATCTGCCATGGGCCCCTGTACCGCCTCCTCATGCTGCTGCCAGGTCCAGAGTCTCTCATGGGTCCCTGTACGGCCTCCCATTGCTGCTGTCTCCATCGCCACACACTCTGCCATGTGCCACTTTCAGGTCTCCTCACACTGCTGGTGTGTTCCATTTTGTCATAGGGTGCTGGCAGATTACGGGCCTCCCATTGCTGCTGCCAGGCCCGTAATCTGCCATGGGCCCCTGTACCGCCTCCTCATGCTGCTGCCAGGTCCAGAGTGTCTCATGGGTCCCTGTACGGCCCATCCCATTGCTGCTGTCTCCATCGCCACACTCTGCCATGTGCCACTTTCAGGTCTCCTCACACTGCTGGTGTGTTCCATTTTGTCATAGGGTGCTGGCAGATTACGGGCCTCCCATTGCTGCTGCCAGGCCCGTAATCTGCCATGGGCCCCCGTACCGCCCCTCATGCTGCTGCCAGGTCCAGAGTGTCTCATGGGTCCCTGTACGGCCTCCCATTGCTGCTGTCTCCATCGCCACACTCTGCCATGTGCCACTTTCAGGTCTCCTCACACTGCTGGTGTGTTCCATTTTGTCATAGGGTGCTGGCAGATTACGGGCCTCCCATTGCTGCTGCCAGGCCCGTAATCTGCCATGGGCCCCCCTACCGCCTCCTCATGCTGCTGCCAGGTCCAGAGTGTCTCTCATGGGTCCCTGTACGGCCTCCCATTGCTGCTGTCTCCATCGCCACACTCTGCCATGTGCCACTTTCAGGTCTCCTCACACTGCTGGTGTGTTCCATTTTGTCATAGGGTGCTGCAGATTACGGGCCTCCCATTGCTGCTGCCAGGCCCGTAATCTGCCATGGGCCCCCGTACCGCCTCCTCATGCTGCTGCCAGGTCCACAGTGTCTCATGGGTCCCTGTACGGCCTCCCATTGCTGCTGTCTCCATCGCCACACTCTGCCATGTGCCACTTTCAGGTCTCCTCACACTGCTGGTGGGTTCCATTTTGTCATAGGGTGCTGGCAGATTACGGGCCTCCCATTGCTGCTGCCAGGCCCGTAATCTGCCATGGGCCCCCCATACCGCCTCCTCATGCTGCTGCCAGGTCCAGAGTCTCTCATGGGTCCCTGTACGGCCTCCCATTGCTGCTGTCTCCATCGCCACACTCTGCCATGTGCCACTTTCAGGTCTCCTCACACTGCTGGTGTGTTCCATTTTGTCATAGGGTGCTGGCAGATTACGGGCCTCCCATTGCTGCTGCCAGGCCCGTAATCTGCCATGGGCCCCTGTACCGCCTCCTCATGCTGCTGCCAGGTCCACAGTGTCTCATGGGTCCCTGTACGGCCTCCCCATTGCTGCTGTCTCCATCGCCACACTCTGCCATGTGCCACTTTCAGGTCTCCTCACACTGCTGGTGCTGTCCATTTTGTCATAGGGTGCTGGCAATTACAGGCCTCCCATTGCTGCTGCCAGGCTTGTAATCTGCCATGGGCCCCTGTACCGCCTCCTCATGCTGCTGCCAGGTCCAGAGTGTCTCATGGGTCCCTGTACGGCCTCCCATTGCTGCTGTCTCCATCGCCACACTCTGCCATGTGCCACTTTCAGGTCTCCAAAAAAGTGACTTTGTGCTGAAAAATCTTCAATGATTATGAAATCGGTGACTGCTTGTGAATCCTCCCTCAAGTGAAGATGTGCGCTCACCTCATATATGAAGCCTGCAATTAGGCTATATACAGTCATGGCCGAAATTGTTGGCACCCTTGATATTTTTCCTGAAAATCAAGTATTTCACACAAAAAAGGTATTGCATTAACACATGTTTTGCTATACACATGTTTATTCCCTTTGTATGTATTGGAACAAATATAAAACAGAGGCAGAAAAGCAAATATGACATAATGTCACACAAAACCCCAAAAATGGGCTGGACAAAAGTATTGGCACCCTTAACTTAATATTTGGTTGCACACCCTTTGGAAAACATAACTGAAATCAGTCGCTTCCTATAACCATCAATAAGCTTCTGACACCCTCTCACCCGGAATTTTTGGACCACTCTTCCTTTGCAAACAGCTCCAGGTCTCTCTTATTGGAAGGACAAAAACCTTTTCCCAACAGCAATTTTAAGATCTCTCCACAGGTGTTCAATGGGATTTAGATCTGGGCTCATTGCTGGCCACTTCAGAACTCTCCAGCGCTTCTTTGCCATCCATTTCTGAGTGCTTTTTGACGTATGTTTGGGGTCATTGTCCTGCTGGAAGACCCAGGATCTTGGACGCAAACCCAGCTTTCTGACACTGGGCCCTACAGTGCGACCCAAAATCCTTTGGTAATCCTCAGATTTCATGATGCCTTGCACACAGTCAAGGCACCCAGTGCCAGAGGCAGCAGCAAAACAACCCCAAAACATCATTGAACCATTCAGATTTCACCCACACCAGTTCAACGGCCACCATATTTTACCGTAGGTAGGTACTGTGTTTTGTTCTTTGTAGGCCTCATTCCGTTTTCGGTAAACAGTAGAATGATGTGCTTTACCGAAAAGCTCTATCTTGGTCTCATCTGTCCACAAGACGTTTTTCCCAGAAGGCTTTTGGCTTACTCAAGTACATTTTGGCAAACTGTAGTCTTGCTTTTTTATGTCTCTGTGTCAGCAGTGGGGTCCTCCTGGGTCTCCTGCCATAGCGTTTCATTTCATTTAAATGTCGACGGATAGTTCGCGCGCTGACACTGATGCTCCCTGAGCCTGCAGGACAGCTTGAATGTCTTTGGAACATGTTTGGGGCTGCTTATCCACCATCCGGACTATTCTGCGTTGCAATCTTTCATCAATTTTCCTCATCCGTCCACACGACCAGGGAGATTAGCTACAGTGCCATGGGTTGCAAACTTCTTGATAATGTTGCGCACTGTGGACAAAGGCAAATCTAGTTCTCTGGAGATGGACTTGTAACCTTGAGATTGTTGATATTTTGCCACAATTTTGGTTCTCAGGTCCTCAGACAGTTCTCGTCTCCTCTTTCTGTTGTCCATGCTTAGTGTGGCACAGACAGACACACAATGCAAAGGTTAAGTGAACGTCTCTCCTTTTTATCTGCTTTCAGGTGTGATTTCTATATTGCCCACACCTGTTACTTGCCCCAGGTGAGTTTACAGGAGCATCACATGCTTGTAACATTCTTATTTATCCGCAGTTGTGAAAGGGTGCCAATACTTTTGTCCAGCCCATTTTTGGAGGTTTGTGTGACATTATGTCGAATTTGCTTTCTTTCCTCCCTTTTTTTGTTTTGTCCCAATACACACAAAGGGAATAAAACATGTGTAAGCAAAAAATGTGTTAATGCAATACGTTTCGTGAGAAATACATGATTTCCTGGAGAAATATCAAAGGTGCCAACAATTTCGGCCATGACTGTAAGCTTGCGGTTCACCTCCTTTGGAACCTGCTTGTTTGGAACTCCTGTTTTAAGATATCCATGGTATACGACATATGCTATGGAATGAATCTTTTCTCCAGAGTGTGCTATTCCTCTATATTTTCATCTCCATACGGTTCTCCACATACAAAAAAGATCTCAACATGGTGCTTTATTGTTTTTAAAAGGATTAACTTTATTTGCTTTAGGATATGGCACTCACATGTGTACGGATAGTGGTAGTACAAATCCGATCCCAAACTGCCGCTGACTGCCGGAGCTGTGTACTCGTGGTCCGGCAAACGGACTGACTCAGCGTCAGTCAGCGGCAGTTTGGGATCGGATTTGTACTACCACTATCCGTACACATGTGAGTGCCATATCCTAAAGCAAATAAAGTTAATCCTTTTAAAAACGATAAAGCACCATGTTGAGATCTTTTTTGTATGTGGAGAACCGTATGGAGATGAAAATATAGAGGAATAGCACACTCTGGAGAGGAGATTCATTCCATAGCATATGTCGTATACCATGGATATCTTAAAACAGGAGTTCCAAACAAGCAGGTTCCAAAGGAGGTGAACCGCAAGCTTATATAGCCTAATTGCAGGCTTCATATGAGGTGAGCGCACATCTTCACTTGAGGGAGGATTCACAAGCAGTCACCGATTTCATAATCATTGAAGATTTTTCAGCACAAAGTCACTTTTTTGGGACATTATTTTATATTTATTTTTATTTTTTTTTTTTTTTTTTATATTTTATTTATTTATTTTTCATTTTATATTTGTCTGTTCACCATTTTTATTTTTATTTTTCTATGCACATGATTTATCTGAGTGTATTCAGAGTATAAGAATATTAGAATTTATGTTTATTCATACACATCATTCTTAATTATTGAAAAAAAGCTTTTTGATTAAGTGATTTAAATAATAATATATTGATTGAAGGTTTGGGAGCGCAACACTATATATACTTTTATTTAGCGTTTTACCACATTGGTAGTTGTGTGCTAGAGGTTCGCGATCCAACACCGGAGAGAGTGTAAAATAAGGAGTTTTTTGTCTGCTGTCTGGCTCACAAGATTTTTCAAATATTCGAGACTCCCATTGCTGCTGCCAGGCCCGTAATCTGCCATGGGCCCCCGTACCGCCTCCTCATGCTGCTGCCAGGTCCAGAGTCTCTCATGGGTCCCTGTACGGCCTCCCATTGCTGCTGTCTCCATCGCCACACTCTGCCATGTGCCACTTTCAGGTCTCCTCACACTGCTGGTGTGTTCCATTTTGTCATAGGGTGCTGGCAGATTACGGGCCTCCCATTGCTGCTGCCAGGCCCGTAATCTGCCATGGGCCCCCGTACCGCCTCCTCATGCTGCTGCCAGGTCCAGAGTTTCTCATGGGTCCCTGTACGGCCTCCCATTGCTGCTGTCTCCATCGCCACACTCTGCCATGTGCCACTTTCAGGTCTCCTCACACTGCTGGTGGGTTCCATTTTGTCATAGGGTTGCTGTATGGCCTCCCATTGCTGCTGCCAGGCCCGTAATCTGCCATGGGCCCCCGTACCGACTCCTCATGCTGCTGCCAGGCCCGTAATCTGTCATGGGCCCCCTGTACCGCCTCCTCATGCTGCTGCCAGGTCCAGAGTGTGTCATGGGTCCCTGTACGGCTGCCCATTGCTGCTGTCTCCATCGCCACACTCTGCCATGTGCCACTTTCAGGTCTCCTCACACTGCTGGTGGGTTCCATTTTTGTCATAGGGTGCTGTATGGCCTCCCATTGCTGCTGCCTCCACCGCCACACTGTGGCTCCATACTCTGGTTTTGGCCCCGTGACTGCCCAAATGAGTGAAGTGTGCGGTGATTCTAAGATCGACGGCACTCATCTGCATGTCATACTGACTGACAGTATTATTTCTCTTCCCCAGCAGACTCCAAGGGCATTTAAATTAAAGTTACAGTGTTCTGCACTAATATAAAGGCTCTCTGAAGCCTAGAAACACCCTTTTATAAGTTAAATTCGCAGCGAATATATTCGCCTCGAATCGAATTTATTCCTCGAATTCGCCGAATCAGCCGAATCGAATTTTTGAATACTTCGCTCATCTCTAGTTACAATCCTTCAGTGCAGAGCTAGTTCCTATCACTGCGCTGTCTGCTCTTAAGCAGAACTATCCCACTACATTGCCAGCCAATATGTGATGAACGACCACCACCCTCTTCACCAGCTTGTGACAAAAGGCTGGTCTACCTCACACCATGCTGTCATGGATATGTAACAATGCCACTACCAGCCTCACCCTGCACAAAGATTCTCCAGCTAGTGAGGCCACAATCTAGGTGCCAGCAGCCTGAGAGCAATTGTCACTAGGTTAAGTTAGCTAAGGAATTAACTCTTTAAGCTGCCACCACTGTCTTTTACTGAAAACACTGAAAATTCCACAAGATTAGCAATACAATTATGATTTAAAAAAAAAAAAAAAAGTCTGTGCACACACTGTCAACACATAGGTATTTTCAGAGTTATCATAGTGCACTTCAAGAGACAGAGATTCTTTTTGTTTGCATCAGAGCCTTAGAGATAATTTCACCACTTTTCTAAATAGGTCAAAATGGTGCAAATAAAATATTTATAAAAAAACAAAGCTATTACAAAGAGACGACAATGAAACAAAGAAATAAAAAGGAGTTGAAAGTGAAGAATAATTTTTGTTTCAGCAGACTTCAGTGAATAACAAAAATGTCAAATTGGCTCTTATAATTTGAAAGGTCTTTAGTTGCTTGATGAGATTTTGACAAGAGCTGTCAAAATGTAGGGGCATTCCACTTTTCTTTACATCAAGGGGGGTGTTGACAGAGACCATATGACCAATCATCCGCTCTAAGGGGTGGATGCTGGGATGTCACATTTAAGTCCCAGATACAGCTTTCTATAAGTATTCTTATCTCTGAATACCTACTGTTTACAGACTGTTAACATGCATATTATTGTCTAGCGTGAAATTAGTTTCAAAATGAATATAAATGACAGGTTTCAGATGTCTACTTTACCTAGGAGGCTAAGGAATTCCATTGGTTCCCCATATTGTCTCATATAGGGATGTTTGAACTTGAAAAGTTACAAATTAACTGAGGGAGATAAATATGTCTATATTCTGGCTGTGCTATTATTTCATGAGTTATGAAATATACAGAAGTTTTGGCTGATAACTACATGTAAATGTTTTTCCGAGTTCTGGCATTAAACCTTGAGAGCAGCCTGGAGATGTCCCAAACTTGTTGCAAGTTCAAATCTTCCCCGTGAACTTCTGATGTATTCTGAAAGATTGCTTAAATTAGGACTATTATCCCTAGTAGCTCCTATTATCCCAAGAATGAGAAGAGGAAAATTGGATAATTAAAAATATGAGTGCATGGAGTAAAGAAGGCAGTTAGTTGAGGCACAACTGTCTGCACTATAGTTCACAACAGCTACAATATAGTTAATGTTTACAGGTCTAAAATACAAGCTTACATACACCTTCTAGTAAATTACATAGAAGACATACACATACAATTACAAAAAAGAAGCTTCTCAAGGGCAAACAAACTGCTTTTTGGTAGACAGGCACAGGTTTTCCTTTCACATTGCAGCAATAGCCACACAGAATGTTTTCTCATAAGCTCAGTACAATTTTATTTTATTCCTACTGTTCACAATCAGTCTCATCAAAGTATTAGTACAAAAGGTAAAAAGGACTTTCAAAAAAAGCTTACTAGTCTATGTTTTTCATACAGACAGACATGAAAACAAAGACAGATGTAAATAATGCTCTGTCTTCCACACAAGGAGCAACATTCACCCAAACGTTCAGACTCACACAAGGGGCACTATTTGTTTTGGCTATAATACCACTTCATTTATTGGCTTGCTGATACATAATAAGTGAATAGAACATTTTGCCAACACCAGAATCTAGCTTTCCTATATCCCTTGTAATAAGATTATTAACCACTTGCCCTCCAGAGGATTTACCCCCCCCTTAATGACCAGGCCTCTTTTTGATACTTGGCGCTGCACTAATTCAACTGATAATTGCACGGTCATGCAATGCTGTACTCAAACAAAATTTATGTCCTTTTTTCACACAAATAGAGCTCTTTTTAGGTGGTATTTGATCACCTGTGTGCTTATTTTTTGCGCTATAAACAAAAAAAGACCAAATATTTTGAAGAAAAAAAACATTTTTTACTTTCGGCTATAAGAAATATATAGTAAACTCAAAGTTAATTATAAATTTAGGCCAAAATATATTCTGCTACATGTTTTTGGTAAACAAAATCCAAATAAGTGTATAATGATTGCTTTTTTTTGTTATACAGCGCTGCACTATTTTTTTTTTTTTTTTTTTTTTTTTTTTTTTTTTTTTTTTTTTTTTTTTTTTTTTTTTTTTTTTTTTTTTTTTTTTTTTTTTTTTTTTTGTTTAACTGACAATTGCGCTGTCATGCAATACAGTACATAAAATAAATTTATCTCCTTTTTTCACACAAATACAGCTTTCTTTTGGTGGTATTTGATCACTTGTGCACTTTTTATTTTTGGCGCTATAAACAAAAAAGGTTTTATTTAAAAAGTTTTGTGTAAAAAAAAAAAAAAAATTTATTTTTTGTCATTTTCTAAAAACATGTGGTAAAAAAATTAATTCTTCTATTGACTCAACATGCCTCTCAGCAAATAGTTTGAGGTATCTACTTTCCAAAAAAAAGGGGTCGTTTTGGGGGGTGGGGGCATTTTATTCCACACATCATTCCACACATCATTCACTCTAACCACCTGAAGACCAAGCCTTTTCTGACACTTTTTGTTTACTTGAAAAAAAATCTGTATTTTTTGCTAAGAAATCACTTTGAACCCCCAAACATTATATATTTTTTAAAATCAGACACCCTAGTGAATAAAATGGTGGGTGCTGCAAAGTTTTATGTCACATAGTACTCGCGCAGTGTTTTTTGAAACGCAATATTTTTTTTTAAAAATACACTTTTTTACTTTAAATGCACAAAAACACAATATATTGGCCAATTATTTGGTAGCATATAAAATATGATGGTATGCCAAGTAAATAGATACCATGCTTTAAAACTGCACATGCCTCGTGCAATGGTGACAAACTGAATACATTTTTAATATCCATAGGCAAAGCTTTAAAAGCCTTTACAAGTTCCCATTTTAGATTTACAGAGGATGTCTAATGCTAGAATTACTGCCCTTGATCTGATGTTTGCGACGATACCTCACATGCATGGTGCAACTGCTGTTTACATAACGGCACAGGGTCAACGCTCAAGGGGGGGCGAGGGTGCTTTTTTTTTTTTTTTTAAGTTATTTTGATTTTTAGAAATACTTTTACACTGTCCCTTTAATTTTTTTTAGCACTTTTAATGCTATCACTGGGAATGCAAATATCCCCTATAACTTCAATGGGCAAACACTGCGGTTTTGTGTGCAATGTATCAAGTGACAGTGATCTGACACTGAACTTGTTGGGGGAGAAGGGGGGGGGGTAAGCGTAGGGGCTAAAAACGCAGATGCTGCCAAGTCTTGGGGCTGATCCCGCTAACGCTGTGTTTTTGGGGACACTAATGTGAACGCTGGTATAGTGCTGATCTGAACAAAGACATTGATCTGTTCAGACACTATACTAGCAATGGAGGTTTATTGTGTATGAGCCTGTTCCTAGCAATCAAGTGGTTAAATGTGGTGTACTGAAGGGCAATCTGACACTATCTGGGAGGAGCAAGAAAACCACAGAAGCACAAATCACGTATATATAAGTGATTTTGCGCACCTGTGCTGCCTTGTAGCAGTATTTCTGCTATAGGGCGGTCAGGAAGCAGTTAAAGAAGCAGTTTGCGTTACGGCGCTGCATTACGTTAACTAAAAATTGTGCGGTCATGCAATGCTGCACCCAAATGAAATGTATGTCCTTTTTTCCCCCACGAATTGAGCTTTATTTTGGTGGTATTTGATCTCCTGTGCGGTTTTTTTATTTTTTGCGCTATTAAAAAAAAAACCGACAATTTTGATAAAAAAAAAAATATTTTTACATGTCCAGTAAAAAAATGTAAAAATAAAATTTCATTATAAATTTAGGTCAAAATGTATTTTGCGACATGACTTTGCTAAAAATAAAATCCCATACGTGTAAATTAATTGGTTTACGTGAAAGCTATAGCATTTACAAATGGCGGTATAGATACCGGAATTTGTTTTTTTTACACTAAGAATGGCGGCGATCAGCAACTTATAGCAGGAATGGTGACACCAATATAGTGATCAGTGCTAAAAATGAGGGGCAATCAACTGATGTTGTATACCCAAACTGACAGGGAGAAGGGCTGTTGGTAAACCTGTCGGTGATCGCCGGTAATCACCAGGCACCAGTGGTAATCACTGGACCCGGTGATTGACACACGGGCTGCAATTGGTGACGTGGGTAGGGCGTGCGCCCCCTACCCGGAAATGCAGAATCACATATATATATATATATATATATATATATATACACACATGATCCTGCACACAGGGGCTGCCCTGTAGCAGTAAATGTACTGTGGGTGGTCCTTAAGCGGTTAAGAGATTTTAGTAGTCTAAGATTTTACCACTTTCAGTCAATGGAGGCACTGTTATACTGTGACAATTCTCAAAATACTGGTCAGCAGGCAGTAATCAGCTGGCATTTATGACAAGCCAATGTCCAGCTGAGAATACATCCTTTGAATTAAATTGCAACAGGAGAATCTATTACTCCGTAGGTGTTACAAATAACAATATGTCCAGGGCCTACTTCCTTACATCAGGCAGGTGGCCATACTAATATAAACCTCTTCAGCAACCCTTCAAAAAGAGGTTTTATGGTGAAAAACCAGATGGTGAATTGCCTATTCAAAGAACTGCAGTTAATGCCCAACTAGTGCTTTTTGAAACAAAAGTTCATAA